CTATTCTTAGTTTATCATTTAAAAATAAAGATTTTTGTATTTATAATTGTGACACTAAAAACTAGTGTTGTGATTAATGCATTAATTTGTAAAAATGTTTCAACACTAGTTTACACTTTCCGGACTGGTTGGTAAAGTAATACCAAATAGACAATTATAGTTAGAGCAATAGTTTTGCTTAATTATCATATATATTTTTTGAAACATTTTGTTACCGGATTTCCACAGTAGTCGCCCTCGGGGTGGGTCTGAGCGCAGACACCATATTCACCGGTAAACTGAACACAACACTCGGTGTCCGCACAGTCGACAAACCCTTTACACGACTTGCCTTCATTCGCCACCACACATACGATTGCCATTATGGCAATTATTACCAGGGTACATTTCATCATGATATATTGAATTGTTAGTAAACTCTATTATAATAAAGTACAAGGCAGGTTATAATTGGTATGTTAGTTAGTTAGTGAGACGTGTAAACCGGGTATTTATACTATTTTAAAAGGATGTTCATTTAAATTGCAGATGTCATTGATAAGGGTTTCCACGAGTTATTGCCTGCACGAAATTGACCAAGTGATAAACTTTTCAATCATTCATAATCTATTTAAAATATTATACATCGATAGAAAATACCTATTTTATCTCTTATAATAATTATAAGCCACAGTATATTTATGATAAAACTTAAAAGTACGGTCGAAATGGTATTACATTCCCAAATAAAGATCCTAGGTGACATACACATACGTGGGCACTATGTTTGGGGAGTGAACATAGATAATGACAGTATTAGACATATTTATTTCTTAACAACGTCAAATTACTTTTAAAATAAATATGATTAACTCTAATTACCAATAAATAATTTATCAATGTAAGATATTTCCAAGAAAATCACATCTGCATTGTGCCGTACCTTTGAAGGTTGAATAATTTTTTAATATACAAAAACAACTATTTAGAATTATATTATCTAATTTATAGTGTATAATGCACAAATAAATAACATAAGTACATAATTTTTAATCAACATTTTAATTTCACCAATTGTATTTTTTATTCATATTTTTTGACAATATGTATTAATCGGCTTTATTAAAGTTTATTATATTATATAATTTATATAAATATGTAATACTTTTAAGGACTATGTATAGTAAATAGCGATAAAATAAAATCGTAAAAACTACCATTATCTAATGTCACTCCCAACAATTAGTACCCTAATATTATAAATAAGCTTATCATGGCTCCAATCCCATAGCCGTATGTGAATGTCATCTAGGATCTTTATTTGGGATTGTGATACCATTTCGACCGTATTTTTAAATTTTATCATAAATATACTGGGGCTTATAATTATTATAAGAGATAAAAAAATTAGGTTCTTTCTATCGATGCATAATATTTGAAATAGATTAAGGTTTAAAAAGTTTATCACTTGAACAAGGTCAATTTCGTGCAGGCTATAATTCTCGGGAAACCCTTATCAATGACATCTGAACTTTAAATAAATATCCTTTAAAAATCGTATAAATACCTGGTTTACACGTCTCACTAACTAACAACCCAATTATAACATCCCTTGTACTTTATTATAATCAAGTTTATTAGCAATTCAATATATCATGATGAAAGGCACCCTGGTATTAATTGCAATTATGGCAATCGCATGTGTGGTGGCCAATGAGGGAAAGTCGTGTAAAGGGTTTGTCGACTGTGCGGACAACGAGTGTTGCGTTCAGTTTAACGGTGAATATGGTGTCTGCGCTCAGACCCACCCCGAGGGCGACTACTGTGGAAATCCGGTAACAAAATGTTTAAAAATATATGAGATATTTCAGCCAGACTACTACTGTAACTATAATAGTCTATTTGTATTCACTCTACGAGTATCAAGGAATGTGTTAATTAGTGTTGAAACACTTCAATACATGACTCAATGTACTAGTTTTTATTTTCTCAATTAGAAATATAAAATATTAAAATTTATAAAGATCAAATAGAACCTAGTGTTGTGAGTCATGCATTAATTTTTAAAAGTGGCTCAACATTAGTTTGCATTTTGTAGCACTAGTATCCCTAACTATTCATTTTATTGTAATAGTCTTTTAACCTGTCTCACTGTATGGTTCAATTAATATTAATGTTATACTTTCAATGATAATTGTAGAAATGTCCATGCGAAACCGGGTTAACATGCCATCAGCCAGTTATGAGTTCCCCTTATTGTGGAAAGCCGTATTAATTGCTTATTTTAATAAAAGCATAATTTCCCTTAAATAAATATACAAAGTTTTGTTTTAAAAAATTACAGCTACAAAAATTTAAATGATAAATTTAAAATTATTAATACTGTATTAATCAACATTTAATAAAATTATTTTCATTGACCCTTTATGTAATTTTATATATACCTTTGGTTGCAAACATAAATTTAATATATTGCTTGTAGATTGAATTAAAATTTTTAAAATTCATAATTATTTATACCAAAACCTAAAAAATGTGCCTATCACCAATCCGTTTATCACGTTTGCCAACAATAATAATTGCTTTAAAATAATAATTAATTAATTAAAGGATTGTTTTTCAAATTATAATTATTTATTCTACAATGATTTTTCACAAGTTACAATATGTAATAGTAATAACTTTAGTAATTGTACTTATAACTAACATTTAGAATTTACTGATTATTAACATAATTTATTTTGGACCAAGCTCCTTTTCAATATTAGCCTCCATGGTATTAGCCTGCTGGACTACGTTATTATTCTCAATCACCTTGTCACTCAACGACTTTACCATAATATTTAAACGATTTTGCTTATCTTTTAATGACTTAGCTTGTTCAGTTTTCCCCGCGGCAGTCAACTCTTTAATTTTTTCAACAATCCTGACCTCCAGTGCCGCCGTCCGGGCGAATAGGTTTGAATTTGCCTCACAATTAATTATTGGACGTCTGGTAGGTAGGGGTGGAGTTGGGGCACCGGTAGGTGGTGTAGTCGGTGCCAGAGTTGAAGGTTTGGTTGGCACGCTGTGAGATGTCGTTCCACTCTCGACAATATGTTCTAAAGTTGTTAAGTGTTTTTCAACTTGGTCATCTAACTGAGTTAATTCATTACTAATTGCATCAATGTCACTTTGTGTAATTGCTGACTGTAGCTTGGCGTATAGAAATCTAATCTGGGACTCATTGCCGCTTAATTCTTTGAGATCTGCCTGGCTAACTAGTGGATTGCGTTCAAATTTAACAAGGTCATCATCAAGTCGCTTGATTAGGGTACTGGTGCGGGCTAATAGCACATCCTTGGGTGTTAAAACACTGGTAGCCGTAACTATACCTGGAAATGAAAATAATTTAAATTAATTTTGTCTAGCTAAATTATAAAATTATATTTATTTATAAACTGTAAAAAAATTAATTAATACACACAGCTAATTAAAATTAATGTTATAAAATTTAGAAAATTCATTTTAGTATTTTAGTAATTGTTTACAATAATAAGTTTTAATATTTTAATATACACTTAAGTAGTGTAATAAAATTGTATGATGCGTATTTAATTTGACAATCTATAATAATGGGAAATTTTAAACATGTTAAAATTGTTAATGAAACTTTATTGTGATCACATGTACATACAAAAATAAGCAATAAGAAAATAATCTTTTCAGTAACTTATCAAAAAACATTTTACAAAAAAAGTAAATAAATTTTATTTTAATAAAACTCATTACATGCTACATCTAATTAACTATATTTAATTAAAATTAAACACATTTGCAATTTCTATACTAATTTCTTGTGAACCATTTTATTATTATTTAACAAAATAATAATGAGACAACAAACGGTAACCATCACAATTATTATTATTGGTACCCTGATCGCGCGTGAAACAATGTGCGCCCTTGGCAGCACCTCTATCATAATTAAGGACCAGACCCTTGGCACCTCTATCACCTTATCACAGAAATATTAGGATAAACTAACAATAGTGTCATAGATGTCAGACTAACAAAGAGTATTTTGATAGATATATGGGTTTCGAGGGGTGCCGGGACAGGGTTTGCTACATGACCGAGGCTAGAAATGATGGATGCGAGCGAGATGGCGATTGTGAGAAAGGTGAAAAGTGCCGTGGTGCCCAACGTATCAAAGGCAAAGCCAAAGGATAAGTGGCCATGTCACAGGGTATGAAAACATGGTAGCACTTTTTAGCCATGCATTAATGTAACTTTTTTTGTTTTGTAGGTGTTATTATGGATAAACCATTGTTGAACCCTTTAATTAAAGTAGTAAACAAGAAATAAATTTTTATATTTTTATATTTTATCGTATTTTTTTGAATTACTATTTTAATTATATAATTTTAAAAAATTAATTTTTAATAATTTTATAATTAAATAAAAATTTTGTAACTAGAATAAAATATTTTAATTACTGCAATGTGTTTGTTTTTTCAATTTTTTTATTAAATTATGAATAAATATAGTTATTATATACTGGTAAAAATAAAATACTTTAAAATAAATTAATGAGAATTCAAATAATTTCACATAATTATAATTCATAATTTAACACACTTTTTTGTTATATAAGAAAATAATATTAAAATTAATTCAGTATTACAGGTAATACAATACCACAATACAGAAACAATTTTATTTGAATTTATTTTTTAATTAACTACTTTTATCAAGTAATGTAATGAATAAACAGCACATTTGCCAATTTTGTACTTTTCAAAAAATTGTTTCATTATATTAAAACTGTTACTGTTAATATAAACCTAAAATTACAATTTTTAAAAATTATTATTTATAATCAAACTTGCAACATTCGCGGTAAACCTATTTGTGTGAGTAAATAACTTAATTTTTAGTTTACGAAGTATATAAAAAATCTATATTATTTGAATTTTATAAATAAAATATATAATTTTATTATTTATAAAATTTAAATAAAATAAAGGATTTGTTATAAATGACCTAATATAAAATTAAATTACATTCTAAACAATTACTCCACTATAATATTTAACAATCTGTATCATACAAAATTTATAATTATTTATTTTTAATTTACAGGTTAATAAAATTAGCAATAAATTCAGTATTTTTTACTAGAAATAAATTACTGATAGACAATGAAATATTATTTTGATTTCCAAGTATAATTCTTATAATAGTAGTCTAGTGATTTATATTATCTAGGCACAATCTAAAGCACATGATTTTACGTTAAGAGCATCTGAATAGACAATGAAAATCGTACCCAATATCACATACAGTTCCCACACCTGGAGGTCTGGTTAAACAATAGGCTTAAACCACTTAAAAGGTTCATAAAATCTAGATAGATCATTTAATATGCATTATAATTCTTAGATAATAATTTGATTTATTATAAAAGCAAACAAAAACTTATAGTTTTAAATAGTTATTAAGAAATCATGAAAGTATTGATTATTTTGTCGGTATTGTGTTTAGCGGTATATGCCGTACCATTTGGCAGTGAATTGTCTGAGCCGGTTGCTTTTAATGGCACAAAGTGGGTGCTATTAGCTGCTGGTGGAAATACCTGGTCCAATTATAGGCATCAGGTAAATATTAAATAATTACTAAACATAGAAAACATTTATGCTACTCACTAGCTTAATATTAAAACTGTAACAAAATATTATTAAAATATAAAATACTTGAGCAAATAATTACGTTAAAAAACTTGGATTACATTATTTTAACAAATTAATTTATGCAAAAACTGTAATTTAATAGATTTATATTTTATAAATTTAATAAGTATTTTATTTTAAAATTAAACTGGATAGAAAAAGTGTTTGAAATTATATTTTAGTATTAAACTTAAATACTAAATTATCTAAATGATTTTAGTTTTTAAAGTATTTTAAATCTAAATTAAAAATTTATTATTTTAATTACTTAAGTCCAACGTATACCACGCCTACCAAATAATCAAATCCCATGGCATACCCGACACAAACATCGTGGTCATGCACTACGATGACCTGGCTAACAACAAGGCAAACCCTACACCCGGTATTGTGATTAACGTACCCAACGGTCCCGATGTCTACAAGGGTGTGCCCAAAGATTATACTGGCGCTGATGTTAACCCCTTGGTAAGTTGTAATTATATTATACTTTAAAACTTTTAAATTATTGAATGATCAAGGTTGTAAAATTTTAAAATAACTACTTTTCACAGAACTTTTTGGCGGTCCTGAGAGGTGACCCCATATTAGCCCGCAATCACAAAAAGGTTATCAAAAGTGGACCCAACGATCACATCTATGTCTACTTCATTGACCATGGAGCACCGGGTACATAATATTATTTATAGTTTTAATCATAAGTTTATTATTGATTATCAAGGTAGTTAATATGTAATTAAATTAAAAATTAATAGATTTAATCGCATTCCCCACCCAATACCTATACGGCGAGGAGTTGAACGCCCAGTTCAAGCAAATGTACCAGGACAAAAAGTACGCCAAATTGGTGATCAACATTGAGGCATGTAACTCTGGTATGTAATAAAAAATAAATTCACCACCCAATACCTATACGGCGAGGAGTTGAACGCCCAGTTCAAGCAAATGTACCAGGACAAAAAGTACGCCAAATTGGTGATCAACATTGAGGCATGTAACTCTGGTATGTAATAAAAAATAAATTCACCAGTAGCATTTTAAAAAACTATTTTTCATTCATAGGCTCTATGTTTGAGAAACTGTTGCCAAATGACATCAATGTCTATACGACCACATCGGCCAACCCTCAGGAGTCTAGTTATGCCAAGGACTATGACTCTAAACTAAAAACATACCTGGGTGATTATTACAGCGGTGCCTGGTTACAGGTGATCGAGAAAGAGGACCTCAACGTTGAGACCCTGGATCAATCATATAAATACACCGTAACCTCCCAGAATATGTCACATCCCCAGCAATACGGTGACCTGGCTATTGGCAAATTGCATGTTGCTGAGTTTTTAGGTATAAATTTAATTTAGAAATAATTTTCTTGAAATAATATTTTTATTTTTTGTGATACCAGGGTCTAAAAAGGTTGTTAACCAGAAATACACTGCCAGTGCCTCTAGCGGTGAGTTTGTGAACAGTCGTAACGTTCCCATAGCTTTAGCCGAGAAGTTGATTGAGTCGACGGAGGATATCAATGAGAAGCAACGGTATGCTGTAATATAATGTAGAAAATTATTTTTTAAAATTTAAAATTTATTTGTTTTATTCATAGATATGTGACTGAATTGCAGCGCCTATTAAGCGGCCGCCAATATATGGACAAACATTTCGCTGATTTCGTTAATAGTATTAAACATTTAATTGACACCAAAAACATTGATGTACTTAACGGACAGGAAAGTCTCAATAACAGGGAGTGCTATCGAAAGTTTGTGGACATTTTCAATGAGAAGTGCTTCAATATTAACCAGGTAATGAGCTTGTTTATATAATCTTACTTTATCTGTTGTTTAATTAATTTTTTGAAATTTTTTGTATGACTATAGAATACCTATGCGTTTGGAAAACTGCAAACATTTGTGAATATTTGCGAGAATCTGATTGAACCGAGTTATGTGGACAACGCGGTTGAGCACCTGGTATATCACTGTACGGTTAACATAGAGTCCACTAACTCCGAGCCCATTGTATAATAAATTATTTTTAAAAATAATTGTATGTTTTAAGAAAATACGTGCAAAATAAAGTCAACGTTTTAAATAAATAAATACATTTTTGAGAGTATGTCTATAATATTATTTACTCATGTAATACTGCAATACTAATATTTAATAATAATAATATTTATTTATGATAAGCATTAAAAATAAATATTTACAATTATCAAATAGCTTATTATGCTTGATAACATTAATCAATTATTGTTTCAAAGAGCTTAAATTGATAAGCATGCCACTTCATGCTAACAATGAGATTAAGTTCAAGTTTAAGAGTAAATGAACAAGTTCATTGTCATTGTTTATCTAATCTTATGATTTCCAAGTATATTGTATAACATAATTTTGAAAACAAAAAAGTACATTTGTCCTGACACAATACCCTTTGTTTAATTATGAATTTCATTTTAAATATGTAACTTCCCTGAAGTACCTTTCTAAGAAATGTTTATGCCGATAATCTTAATTTTTAAATCTATATATCATACCATACCCTTATGACAATCATTAATATCATATCATAAAAAAGCTAAATAAATTTATTCATTATTTTATTAAATAACTCATTTAATTTGGATTTGTACATTATTTAAAACATTAAAATTTTTTCCATAGTTTATGTAACATAAATTAGTTGGATTTTTAAATATCTAAATAATAAAATAATATTACAGTATTTACAATAATTGTACGAATAATTTAATGTTGATATCAATGAGTGATAGTGAACTCAGTTGGTCCTGACACTATTTTATTGCTAACTTATTTCCTGATAAGAATTTCATAAAAACACTAAGCAAGCTGCAATTTATTATAATATCTTAAAAGTTTTTTATATATAAATAGCTAAACAAAAAAAAATTATTTACTATTTAAATATTAAATACTAGTAAATATGATGTATTTATTATTTTCATTAATTTCCATATTATATCTATCGGTAAATGCTTTGCCATTTGCTGATCAGCTAAATGAGCCTGCACCATTTAACGGTACTAAATGGGTGGTACTATGTGCCGGTGGTAATACCTGGGACAACTATAGGCACCAGGTACACATTTTTTTAATGAAATGTTATTATGTATGTAAATTAATATATTTTTATAATGATGCATTGTATAACCAGGCAAATGTGTACCACGCGTACCAAATAGTCAAATCGCATGGCATACCACAGAAAAATATTATCGTTTTCCACTACGATGACCTCGCTTATAATAAGGTTAACCCTACACCCGGTATCGTAGTCAACACACTCGACGGTCCCGATGTCTATCACGGAGTACCCAAGGATTATACCGGACATGAGGTCAACCCAATGGTACGTAAAAATAGCTTTTGTACATGACCAAGCTTAATTACTAAATTAATATAAATTATTAGAACTTTGTGGGCGTACTTAAGGGCGATAAGACACTAAAGAAAAATAACAAAAAGGTATTGGAAAGTGGACCCAATGACCATGTTTATATCTATTTCATTGACCATGGTGATGATGGTAATATAAGTGATATATTAGCGGGGTAAATTGTTAGTTAATAAATTATTTGTTTAGATGTAATACTGTTCCCTACGGAGTATTTATATGGGGAGGAGCTGAATGAGGCCCTCAAATATATGCACCAAAACCACATGTTTGCCAAATTGGTGTTTAATATGGAAACGTGTCACTCAGGTATGCGAACTAGTTATATATAAATTTTAGTTTATGTGAATTATGTGAATTAAGTTAAATTAGAAATTTTAATTAATTATTAAATAATCAGGCTCAATGTTTGAAAAGTTGCTACCGAAAGATATCAATGTTTACGTGACAACATCAACTAAACCCGATGAATTGAGCTATGTGACCTACTATGATAAACTCCGAAAGACCTACCTTGGTATGCAATTTTAAACACACAAATTATTATATTTTAAAAATTAATTTCTATAATTATTTGCATACCCAGGTGACTATTATAGCGGTGCTTGGTTAGAAAACAGTGAAACCCAAGATTTGGATAAAGAGACTTTACAAGCTCAGTTTGAGTACCTTAGCAAAAATGTGACCACCTCTACACCGCAGCAATATGGCGATGTTTCAATTGCTAAATTACCAGTGTCACAATTCTTTGGTAAATATTAGTTTACTATAAATTAAAATGTTATTTATATATCTTAAATATATTTGTGTTTAGGTAATAAGCCCACAGGTTATATACCAAGTAAACAGGTATATAATAATGATGCTGAAAGGGAGGTGGTTAACCCTCGAGATATACCGGTGCTATTGGCACAGAAAAATATTGCCTCTACTAATGATATCAATGAGAAACAAAAGTATGTGTTTTATTTATAAATCTTAACAGTTGTGTACCCGTAATAAATATAGCCAACTACATTAATTATTTTATAAAATTTTGTATTATTTATTTACAGTTTATTTATTACTTTTTTTTATTATATTTTGAAAGGTATGCGAAAGAGTTGGAGACTATACTGAAAGGTCGCGAATACGTGGATAACGTGTTCAATGAATACGTGAATAGTATTCAACACTTAATGCCAAAGTAGCGTTGGTTACGATATGAGGTATGCTTTGTTCTCGTCAATAATAGACACTGTTATCGACAACTGGTCGACACTTTCCATCAAAACTGCTTTAATTTGAATCAAGTATTTATAAAAAATATTAATTTTAATTAATACTTAAAAAAGTATATTAATTTTTTGTAATTAATTACAGAATACCTACGCTTTCGGAAAGCTATACATATTGAAAAATATTTGCGAAAATTTGATAGACTCTCACGTGACGGATATGGCTGTTAACAAGTTGGTTCAGTACTGTGCCCACAATGTTAATCTAGATAACTTTGGAAAAATTGTTTAATGATAATATGATGTAAAATTTTAAAATTTTGAAATAAAGTTTTACTGTTTCTCTAATTTTTTTTATTAAAAAATTATTACATTTTAGATTAATTAAACTTATTTAATTAAATATTTTATAGTAGACTTTTTTTTAAAAGCATATACTAGTATATTATACCAACTAATAGTGTATTCCATTCATAATTATATTTATTTTAAAAATTTAATGTTGTGTTTATATAAATTGTTTTCGTATTAATAGCCAATTAAATAGCCAATAAATTTAATATTGTATGATTATAATAATATTAAACTAAATAAATCTGTTCATCGGTTTATACATAATTTAAAGCTAATAAAAAAATTATATCACAAATTAATTTTGTTGTTCGCACTAATTTAAATATTAAATTACGTAATAAATTACGTAATTAAACAATTTTTCATACAACCCTATTTGAAAGTTATACACATTAAAACATATGCGACATTCATTTTTGTTATTTAAAAAAATAAATAGATTATTATAAAATATTTAAAATTATTATTTTATTTTTCCTTCAAAATCCAATTTTACAAAAATGAAAACAAACATTTTAATTGTTGTAATTGTGCTTGCTGCTATGTCCGTAGGTTTCCAGTGTGACTCACTTAACGTGGTGGAAAACAGGGAGAAATTCAACAAGGTTATAGAGAGAAAGGATATAATCGGGGTTAAATTACCCGATACTCAGGAGGCTATGGATAAGTATTGTGCGGAGGAGCCATACGTGACCTCAACGTTAGGGTAACTATTAGGACATAGCCTATGTCACATAGGTCATAAAAATTTTAAAAATTTTAAAATATGAAATACTAAAAAATATTTAAATATTGTAAATAGAGTTGCCAACTCTAAATTATTGAATACCTGAAAATTTTGATAATTTTCATTTTTATCAAAAATATTATAATTTTAACGGGATAATAGTAATGCATATAGTGTAAACTTAAGAACATATAACTTCGAGTTAATTTATATCTCTTTAGACTATCCAGAGCAAACTGGAAATTTCGGTAACCCTAATAATAAATTATTTACATATTGTATATCACGAGTGCTACAGAAAATAATAAACGTTACAATAACATTTGTAAAATTGCATTATTATAACTAGTAACTTATTTGAATACTTGTGATTAGTCAATAATCTTATTTCCCTTAATTAAACAAAAATTACTTATTAATTGTATCCATAAATAACGTAACAGGTTCACCATGGCATTTGTGGTGCAGAGCATCCAGTGGGTGGTACCCTATAAGGACTCTACGAAAGCCCACGCCGTGAGCGGCATTAAATAACCCGAAGTGCCCAGGTACTTTCATGGGATATGCAAGTCGCAAAACCCGTTTAAAGTAGCCCAGAGCCTAAATGCCAAACTTAAAGAAACAAGTCTATTAAAGGAAAACCTTTTGGGAATCATGTCTAAGATGAAGGAAAAGGATGATTCGACATTTACTATTGAAATGTGGCTATGGTGAATATTAATTTTTGTTTTCATTTAGGTTAGGTTAGGGCACATCTATTTTGCTTATTAAATTAAAAATATGTTCACTGGTCAGTTAGTTATTTGAGTTTAGGCCTTTTGGGGGTAGATCTTTAATTTTTAGTTAATTTATTTCATTAACATTTTTAATTTATAAATTTAAAATAATGCATGACATGTAGTATATTAAAAACACTAGTTGCGGACAACTATCAAACTAAAAATGAAAACTTTTAATAATTACATAATAATTTTGAATTAATTGTACCCTATTTAACAGTATCGTAAATAGATTTTACAACGAATTACTCGAATTGTTCAAGGGCAAAGAGAAAACTACAGATTTTATGACACAACATATTGAATTTTTCAAAATTGGCGTTACCCACACTCAAAAAAGGGATATAAGCCTGCTGAAAATTGCGATTATAGCGATGGTCACGAGTATAAAGCGGAAACCAAATTTCGTACTATTTTTCACGCCCTGTTTACAGTTCTGAATAAGTTGCTGTAATAACCAAGCTAATTTAAAGTTATAATTTAGATTTGAATAGTAGTAGTCTACATTTCAATAGTAATATAATTTTTATATTTTACTTTTTGATTATTTAATGTGGCATAATTTAATATAAGTATAGCCACAAAACATTACTATTAATAATAATTCAAAATACTGTAGTACTATAATATATTATTGTTGTAATGTAAATTGAATTATACCATATCAAATAACCTAAAAGTTTAAATTAATTTGTATTTTAATTAATTTTTTAATTGACTACAAGTTATAGTTTATAACTTAAAATTTTATAACAAGTCTATTAAAATTCTTATTAATTATATATTAATGACATGTCTAATTCTGTATTGGACTACTTTATTTACTAATAGATAACAATAATCAATTAACTAGAAAATATTTAATAAATATCATGATATTAATTAACATTATAATGATTATAACAACTACTACTATAAACAAACACGTTTAAAATTCAACACATATATCTGATAAGCCAAAATCAAACGTACCACTGAAAAGTTGCTTTAATTTCTTCTTGAAACATTGCTTTTCTGTAAAGTTTGAAATTTATCAGGTTTAATATAAGTAAATTTCAAACTTTACAGAAAAGCAATGTTTCAAGAAGAAATAAAAGCAACTTTTCAGAGGTACGTTTGATTTTGGTTTATCAGATATATTAATTTTATTTCATGAAATTTTTAATATTTAATACTTTACATCAAGTACAATTAACAGCCGACAAAATTTTTCTGGTCATTCAGATCGAGTTTATTCGTACAGAATATTCCGAAATAAAAGCAACTTTTCAGAGGTACGTTTGATTTTGGTTTATCAGATATATTAATTTTATTTCATGAAATTTTTAATATTTAATACTTTACATCAAGTACAATTAACAGCCGACAAAATTTTTCT